TTGACCAACCTCAAGCAGATCAATAAAAGTATAATAAAAATAATTTTGCTGCAGGACAAAGAATTAAATCCAAATGGGAGGAAGAGTTAGATACTGGTATTGATGAGGAAATATGGGGTGATATTTGGCCTGATGCTAAGAAAATATCTGTTTGTACACATAAAAGAGAAAAACAAAATAAATTAATACACAGACTCCATATCTCCCCTAACCGCAGACATCTATTTAACTCTTTTAATTCATCTGTGTGTTTGAAATGTAAAACTGATGTAGGTACTTTCACGCATTATATGTGGTCATGTAAGAGACTGCAAAGGTTTTGGTCTTTGCTGCTGCAGGAAATGGAAAAGATCTTTAACATGCAGCTGGATTTTGACCCAGTTTCATTGATTTTGGGTATACTGTACCTAATGGACGCATTTTTTCATCAGCTAACAAGAAATTGTATAATATATTTACAGCCAGAAAAAAAATATTTTACTTAATTGGATTAGTGATAAATCTCCATCACTTAAAGTTTGGCACAAGATAATTATTGAGTTAAGTCCCCTGGAAAATCTTACCTATATGTTTTACACAAAAAAGAGAACATTTTTGTTTGGACTCCATGTTTGGATTATTTGGAACCTAGTCTTGGCGGTTCAGCCCTTTTCTGATCTGTTTTATTTAGTATAGTCCTGTTTTATATATAATCTGAGCTTTTTTTATTCATTTTTCTATTGGTGTTTCACAAGAACATACATAGTAGTAAACAATACAACATAGGACAATTACAGACTTAGTTTTCCTATTTTCCCACTATCCCCTGAAAAAAAATGAATGGAATGTATGTTTTATAAACAAACATATCCTCTGAGAGAAAATAAATTAAAAAAAATTAATATTATAGTTGCGTATGTTCACAATACAAATGTAAAAAAAAAAATGAAAAGTTTGCGTTAAGGAGTCAATATTTCCTCTTTCCAGTTATTTTCTGGGCATTAGAATTGACATCAACTGAACAGGTTAAGCCCTCGATATAGTCTAAAACAGAATTCCAGGTCTTAAAAAATATTTAAGAGATCCTGCAAGTAAACATCATAACTTAAGTTATGTCTGTATTATTGCGAAAATCAAATAAACATAATTACAAAAAAAAAATTACAAAAGAATTTTCATTTTAACACGTCTGAAATGCTGCCCTGTAACACATAAATGTTTTTTTTTTCGTGCTCTATCCCTTTAAGACCTTGCAATGAATTTAAATAAATAAATAAATGACTGACTGACTGAGTGAGTGCACCTATAAGCTCACATCTGCGTCCGGCCATGATTGTGTCTCAGGACAAGTGGATCACACCATTACACCGTAACATAAGGCTATTATCATGATACATTCGGCTCGTGTTGTGGGAAGAGACAGACAGACGAACTAAGAGAGGAAAGAGGCAGCTGGTCCTCACTCCAGGTTGCAACTCAGAGCAATTAGAGCAGGCAGATGGCTAAATGGCCAAAAAAAAAAAAACCTCCAACTCCAAACGACAGTGACAAGTGTGCCAGGAGCACTGAGATTCTGACCCCATCAACTGGAAGAGAAGGAAAGGGAGGAAAAGGACAGAAAGTAGGGCACAGCTACTTCTGGAGGAAAAACGTCTGTTGTTAGATTAACAGGCACATTTCTATCAGGGTCACCTGCTAATGCTCATAAATACACATGAACGCTCAATACCTTTATTAATGCGGCAGTTGTTTACAGTTTCACTCCCTGCCTCCTTCACAATGTGTGCTCTTGGTTATATTTTAACCTGTTGAGATATGAACTCTGTTGCGTTTGTGTAAACACAAAGGCTTATGGAGAGCAGAGTTCCTGTAAGGCTGAGCTATGATGGGAACTTTTATAACCTGAAACCGGAATACGTACTCCACCACATTCTTGTGCTTTTTATAGCACCTGTGGTTTATTTCAGAGTTTCGTAGAAATGAGTTTTGGTTGTTGTGTAGTTACAGTGATATTTGTGGACAAGTAAACAAGTATCTAAAACGATGACGGTAACGACTAAACAGATTTACAGTAGATGATTCATTATTATTTTTCTGACATGATGAAAATAAAAGTAAACGGTAAATCGTAAATAAAATAAATGTGAAATAAGCACACAATTCACACTTTATTTATTTTTTTGCAATTCTGACTTCATTCTTTGAAAATACGAGTTTATGTCTCGTAATTTGGACTTCATTTCTCAAAATTCCCAAGTTTATATCAAGTAACTTGAACTTAATTTATTGCATTTTTGAGTTGAAGTTTGTAGTAAATTTGATTGCCTTTTTCTGGATTGTCATCATTTTTGAATCATATCTTTAATTTTTGCCCTAATTTCTAACGATTCCGTGATTTTGTCACGATAACTTAATTTCTTACAAATTCAACTTACTGTATGATCTCCTAATTCTGGGTTAAATTATTTTGATCCTGGCCTTTTTTGTCACAATATTTCCTTTATACAGGTATCTTGTAATTTGGACTTAATGTCTCGCAATTCAGAATTTATGTTACGATACTCTCAAATACATTGCAAATTCAACCTTATATCTGCTAATTCTGAGTTAAGATATTGTAATCCTGGCCTTTTTTGTGATTATTTTTGTTTCATATCTTGTCATTTGGACATTCCTGCAAATCTGATCTAGTAATTTGAATTTGCTATCTCGCAATTCTGAGTTTGTCATGATACTTTAGACTTAATTTCTTGCAAATTTGACTTTATATCTGCTAAAATTCTGAGTTAAATTATTGTAATTCTGACCCATATTCCAATTTTTGGTTTATATCTAGTCATTTGGACTTGGGTTGCAATTCCCAAGTTTATATATCTAGAAACTCTTTATTTCTTGCATTTTTGAGTTTATATTTTTAGCAACTTTTTGCCCCAATTTTTGGTTTATATCTTGTAATTCTGACTAGATTTCTCGCAAATCCAAATTTATGATATTCTTCAGTTTATTTCTTATGAATTCAACTTTCTATCTTTTAATTCTGAGTAAAATTATTATTTTCCTGGCCTTTTTTTGTCACAATTTTCGGTTTATATATATTCTGATTTGGAGTTCATTTCTTGCAATTCCAAGTTCATATATATTACTTGAACTTCATTTATTACATTTCTGAGTTGAAATTTTTAGAAAATCTGACTTTTTGGTTTATATCTTGTAATTTGGACTCAAATGTCTCGCAATTGTGAATGTATGTAGCAATACCCTTGATTTTCTTTCAAATTCAACTTTATATCTCCTAATTCAGAGTTAAATTATTGTAATCCTGACTTTTGTTATAGATTTTGGTTTATATCTTGTACTTTGGACGCAATTCCCAAGTTTATATTTAGTAACTCTAATTTAAATTCTTGATTTCTGAGTTTATATTTTTAGAAATTCTGACTTTTTAAAAATAATTTCTGGGCTTATATCTTGTGAATTGGGCTTAATTTCTCCCAATTCCCAATTTCTCCCAACTTATGACTTAATTTAATGAAAATTCAACTTTTTGAAAATTCAAGTTTATATCTTATAGTTTGGACAATTTTCTGCAAATCTTAGTTTATATCTTGTAATTTGGACATAGTTTCTTGCAAATCTGAGTTTATATCGTGTAATTTGGACATAATTACCTGCAAAAGTGAGTTTATATCTCATAGTTTGGACAATTTTCTGCAAATCTGAATTCATATCTTGTAATTTGGACATAGTTTCTTGCAAATGTGAGTTTATATCTTGTATTTTGGACTTAATTTCTCGCAATTCCCAAGGTTATATATCTAGTAACTCTTTAATTTCTTGCATTTCTGAGTTTATATTTTTAGGAATTCTGACATTGTCACAATTTTTGATTTACAGTACATCTTGTAATTTGGACATAATGTCCTACAAATCTGAGTTTATATCTTATAGTTTAGACAATTTCCTGCAAATCTGAGTTTATATCTTATAGTTTGGACAATTTCCTGCAAATCTTAGTTTATATCTTGTAATTTGGACATAGTTTCTTGCAAATCTGAGTTTATATCTTGTAATTTGGACATAATTACCTGCAAAAATGAGTTTATATCTCATAGTTTGGACAATTATCTGCAAATCTGAATTCATATCTTGTAATTTGGACATAGTTTCTTGCAAATTTGAGTTTATATCTTGTATTTTGGACTTAATTTTTCGCAATTCCCAAGGTTATATATCTAGTAACTCTTTAATTTCTTGCATTTCTGAGTTTATATTTTTATCAATTCTGACATTGTCACAATTTTTGATTTATGTCTTGTAATTTGAACATCATTTCTTGCAAATCTGAGTTCATATCTTGCTAATTTAACTGTATTAAAAGTACAATTGTTTATCTCACCATTCCAACTTTTGTAATTCCAATATTTTGTAATTCCAAGATTGCATTTCTGGCTTTTTTTCTTGCCATTTTAATATATTTGTTGCAATTATGAATTAATTTCTCATCATGTTTTTACAGTATCTCACAATTGAGTTTTTAACATTCAGTTCTGAATTTATTTCTCACAATTCAAGATTCAATGACTTTATTACGCAAATGTATTATGAGGAAACCCAAAACATCTGTGCGTGGAAATGCAAAAGGTTCTTTTAAATATATTACATGCACTTATATTATCGTTTTTGTTGTGAACTATTGTCATTAGTCACTTACGTCAGGTTTAATTTCAGAAAAACATTAATGCTTGTGTCTAAACATCCGTATTTTTCCTATACAAAAGGCTAGGTAGTAAAAAAAAATGACAAAAACCTTTACATGGTTTGTTTTACGAGCGCTCTATTGCATAAACCATTTAGCTCCATTTCAGCCGGCAGTGTTATCTGTGACAGGTGACTTATCAAAACACACACACACACACACCAACTGAACATTATAACCCAGAAGCCCAGACTGAAATTACAATAGGAAAAGCGAACAGGAGGGTTCTGATTGAGCCCTGGAGCATTCAGCACATATACCAAGATGACTGTCAAATATCAGTAAGACTTTAATAAGCAACCAAATAAAAAAAAAAGACAACATTACAAAGACATTCAGACAACCAAAAGAAACCTAAAAGCGATGCAAGGCGGTAAAGCATTTAGTAGATGTGTCCTTTGTGTCCATGAGAGTTCGAGAGCGCTGCTCGACAATTTACAGCACAAACACGTTACAGGCATCAAGAAAGCTCTCAGAATAAAACAATAAAAGCACAAATCATTGAAGTAAAAAACATGTCAAATAAAATAAAACATCAGTATAGAACACTTTACAAGACGGTTCAATTGTTCAGCATATCTTAAAGCATCAAGTAAGCGTTTTAAGAGAATTATTAATCTAGATTGATCCATATTAACACGATTATCAGTTTATAAATAACATTATTGTATTATCAGTCGCCTAGATTAATTAATTCCTTAACAATGAATAGTTTGTGATATTAAATGCATTGAAAATGCAAAAGAATTGAACCTCGCTATTATAAAGTATCCTCAACTTAAGTAAAAGCACGTATCCTTCATGCTCACAGCAGTGAAGTACAGTACACAAGGATGTGACATCACCTTATGTATATCATCACGTTATTGTATTTATACTATATACACACCGAAGCAAGGGTCTGTGACAAGTGACATTAAGGCTTTTTAAATGTGTGTGTACATGTGTGTTTACCAGGACTGTTACATCGAAACCACGAATATTCACACCTCTCTGAAAATCGACTCATCTCAGAAGGAAACTTAATATTCTCAAGGCGTTCGTTCCTTCATTACGGTATTCCTGCTGGAGACGTGAAGCTGGAAGGTCAGTGCGTTTTCCCTCTAATGAGGAGCTAAAAAGCGTTGACGAAAACCGCTTCCACTACACTCAACATTCACTGATTGTGGTCTGACCTTTCAATCAGGATGTAAACTAGGACTTCGTCGAAGCCCTCTGCCTATTCGGTGCCAGACGGATCAGATGCATCAGACCGTCCCATGACAGACTGACCACCCTTTCAGAGGTGAGAACAACTTCTTTCAGCGCCATTGATCCAGACGTGGCACTAATAGGGTCAGTGAATCAAGACGGAAGCCGAGGGAAACAAAACGTAAGGTACCCACTGTGCCCTCAGATACTGGGGAACCGAGAGGGACACTCAGAGACTCAAGGACAGTCGGCTTGACAGATGATTTAGAGGGAGAACGAACGAAAATATATGTGCGTGTGTGTGATGTCCAGGTTAAATCACACTCTGAGACCCTGAGAGACCGGAGGAATAACTCACTGCCCTCGAGTCAGACACCATTTAACACGCTGACTCATACTAACATACACACACTCAAGCTTAAAGGAACACTCCAACATTTTTGGGGGGGAATATGCTTATTTTAAGAGTCTCCTAGAGTTAAATAGCCGAGTTTCAGCATTTTTTAAATGCTTTCAGCCAATTTGAGGCCTAGGAGGAGCATTTTTAGCTTAGCTTAGCATAAATCATTGAATTGGATTAGACCATTAGCATGTTAAAAAAAAACTGTAAAAAAAAAAAAATTCTTCTGTAATTACACAGTGTACTACACACTAATGCTGTGAATTCTGTCACTGTAGTGGTACCTTTTCAAAACATACATTTTTTGTACCATACAGGCAGACAATTGTAGCTTTACGGTAGACCTTTGTACCTTTAAGGTACCACGAGGACCACATTTGTACTTTTTAGGTATTATCATGTACCTGTAAGGGCCTGTTAGAAACAAAAATGTGCCTTTTGATAAGGTACCACACAAGTGACAGATTTTGTACCTCCATTTCTGAGAGCGTATGACTCATTTGAGTGTAATAATCGAGAAATTTACGCAGCCATGGTACGACAACAAAGTTTCTTGATTATTACTCCAGAATGAGAGCGAGTTACTAGTGGTATCGGCCTTGAAAATAGCAGCTTTTCATTTCCACTCAGAATTAAGTAGTCAGTTTTTAAGCTAGATGCTAATGGTCTAATCCGATTCCATCATTTATGCTAAGCTAAGCTAAAAATGCTCCCGCCAAACACAGAGATCAGCTGAAAGGATTTAAACATGGTAAATCTCATCTGTTTAACTCTTAGGAGAGGTGTAAAATGAGCCCATTTCCCAAAAAAAAGTGGAGTGTTTCTTCTAAACTACACCCGATAGAAAGCTTTTCAAAATGTGAATGTGTTCGATCTCGAACTAGTACTGTTGATACTGGACTACAGATATAAATATGCGATATGTGCTCTCCAATGCACAGTGGTTGACATGCACAACATTCAACCTTGATATTCACCTCCTTATTTACAACATTACGAAGTATAGACGTTTTCTTTTTCTCTCTATTTTTATGAAAAATAAAATGTGTACATACAGTAGTTTACAATCACCTCACATCAAACAAATACGCACAACCTTTCAGCCATTCAAGCGATTCTTCATTGTATTTCCCCTAAAACAAGTCAGTGTGTGTGTCTCGGCAAGTGAGAGGGATGATAAAGCAAAACAAACAAGGAAATAACAGTATGCGATGCATATCTGCGGTGTCGAGGGAGAGGTATATTTAGCTGTGTGGCCATGGTAACCCTGGACGTGGGGTAAAGTTAGAAATAAAGTTTGTTGGTAACACTTTACAACAGTTTCATTCGAGTTAAAGATGTAAGAATCATGAACTGTCTGCAATAAGAACAACAATAAAAAAATAAATAATAATAGCTGACATTTTAAATGTATAAATTAAAGGAATAGTTCACACAAAAATGTTAATTCTGCCATCAACAAATGACCTATTTGAGTTTCTTAAACACACAAGAAGATATTTTGGAAAATGTAGAAAGCTGGTACCCATTGACTCCCATAGTTATTCATCTTCTTTCATAGTAAATATCTTCTCTTGTGTTCAAGAAGAAACTCATACAGGTTTAAACCACATGAGGGAGAATACATTATTAAGTAATAATCATAATATTTGGCAAATTATCCCTTTAACATCATTGAATGTATTATGAGCATTCAATTATTTGAGTTTATAAACACACAAGAAGATATTTTGGAAAATGTAGAAAGCTGGTACCCATTGACTCCCATAGTAATTTATCTTTTTTCATAGTAAATATCTTCTCTTGTGTTCAAGAAGAAACTCATACAGGTTTAAACCACATGAGGGAAAATAAATTATTAAGTAATAATCATAATATTTGGCAAACTATCCCTTTAACATCATTGAATGTATTATGATCAAAGATTAATCACCTTAAAATTTAATTTACAAAAAGTTAATTCATGATAATTAAAAAGAATTTGATTAAATTGAACCGAATGTAATGTGTTACAAGTGGCACACCATCACTTTGCGAGTTGAACATTATATAATAAACTGATGCTTTCTTTTCACCAGGGTTAAAGTTCATGTAAATAAGGATATGACTCTGACTCTCAGTTCTTTTATCACTACAGTACTCTGCTACAGTGGTCTATAACTGAATGCATAAGGAAATTGTGCTGGAAAAATGGTAGAAAGCGCTGCCTTGAACCCTTTTTTCCTGAATTAATGAATTGTGGGTGAGAACGAACACATCATTCATTAACGTATGATTTGATTTGATTAGCCCGAAACCAAATGATTCACCATTGAGTCATGTCAAAGGATTGAGAAATTGAGTGCTGTATAATGAGCGATCTGTACACGTCACCTCAAGACAGATGGGCGCGTGAAAGTGAATTAACAGAAAGGAAGTCCACCGAATGGCAAATTTAGACACTATGTTTGATTAAGCCTATGTTTGTAACAGATAAAAAAAGCACATTTTGGCTCTTTAAATGTCTACAAATACAAAACATGTGCCAAAATGAGATGCAGGGCTGGGGAATGTGCTCGAACTCGATTCAAATCAGGTTTGAAACCAATTTAAGTGTGAACCCATGATATCAACAGAAAGTAAGGAGGAAGGTAAAACATTTACAGCACAGTGGATGTACATACTTCATGTGTGTGTGTGTGTGTGTGTAATATAATAGATATATCACGCAGTGTCAACATATGCAGTTTCATATTACTCGTGTCGCCATGAGCAATAATTAGGAATGGAAGCCTGACGGTTTGTACTTAGTGTCTATTAACTTCACCTGATCCTTCAAAGGTTTTAATCTGTGCTATATCCAGCGAACTAATTCATCCACTCATTAACTCAATCCATTCATTAATCCCTCCTTCATGGCCGCAATTTGTTTTCTTTACAATAAAATGAATATTCGTGAAGAGGAAGAAATGTAATCCTTCAGGAAGAGGTCCTCGTTCGCCCTCCTCAAACCCCTTTCTGGTTTGCTCTTACACGTAGACTGCAGTCCGAGAGATTACGGAGCCATCCCTTTGTGACTCCATGTCATCGTCTATGTCATCGTCATGTGGGCGGAGCTGAAGGATGGGTCCGCCCCCACTGAAATGGTCATATCGCTCGTCTTCTTCTTCGAGCTCATCGAATTTCTTCCTTTCCACCTCGTCCATCTCTCGGCTAAGCAAGATGTCCTCTGCTGTGTGAGTGTGTGTGGTCTCCAGCAGAGCCACGCCTCCTGGATGCATGCCCTGATTGGCTGTTTTCTCGTTAAGCACCACCTCTCCTCTGTAAATGGGCGTGTTGTTGTTTCCGTTGTTTCCGGTGCCATTTTTGCTGGATTTAGCAGAGCCGAAGAGCCGGGTAAAGGAATCGTAGGGAGTGCCAGACGGTTTGCCAGTGCCACGGTAACCGTGCTGCTGCCGGCGATTATGGGATACCAGGCAGTAGGCGAGTCCACCTAATAATAAGATGGCCAGAAGACACGCGAAGATCACGCCTACGATCACACCTGCGTTCGAGTTGGGAGGTGCTTGCTCTAGAGACAGAGAGGTGAAAAAGAGAAATGGAAGAAGATCAGGATTAGTCTGAACTTGATTCGAGGAAAGGAAACAGAAGTTAAATCTTCAAAGACCCCTTTGAAATCAAAAATGGAGATTTAGAATTTGAGGTCCTGTATGACAGAGGACAACAAATATTGATCACTCATCATTTATCACAATGATTTCAGTCCAATCAAACCCGATTAGAATAAAAATGAACAGCCCTCAAATAACTGCGCTAGGTTGGGTTAGCTTGCCAATAATGATGTTTAGCATGTGACTTAAGCATTTGGCTTTTTTCGTTTTTTTTCATGCGTCCTTTTGCTTTTTGAAAGTGTGCAGACCTTTCTTCAGTTGTTTCAGTACTTAAATAATTAAAATGCCTGCAATTGGTTTGCAAGAATCAAGTCTTGGTGTGGCCATGACACAAGTGAATCAAGCTGCACAAGCCCTGTCTTATGTGTCCTTATAAGAATGATTCATTTAAGGTGACTTGAATCATTTGAATCGTTCAATATAATGATTTGTTCAGTGACCCTGATGCCATATGCCAATAAGTGGCAGCAATAAATATTCTGTATAATTAATCACTGGATAATACATTCGCACGCACGCACGCACGCACGCACGCACCCACCCACCCACCCACCCACCCACCCACCCACCCACACACACACACACACACACACACACACACACACACACACACACACACACACACACACACACACACACACACACACACACACACACACACACACACACACACACACACACACACACACACACACACACACACACACACACACACACACACACACACACACACACACACACACACACACACACACACACACACACACACACACACAATCTTGTCACCCATTTGTTTTGGATATTTGACTTTTACATATAAATAAATAATTCTTCTAGCACGTTTTCTCTAACTTGTTGTGAATGAGACTGACACGCTTGGCAAGCTGAAACATCACATTCAATTTAGTCAAAACTAGGGCTGTGCGATATGACAAATTCATCTCATATCCCGATAACAAATAAATCAATTCTTAGTTTTCTATATTTTGTCCACATGTAAAGACCATTTCTTTATTATACTTTAAAGTATATACTCACTTTTATTAAAGTATATTACTCGTATCACTCAATTTACTCTTTCAGAAGTGATTTTATATCTCACTTTATTTAGAGCTTCATGTCTGATTTAAAAAGTAGAAATAAAAATATAAATATTAATAAAATATAAAACACTTAAAAAAAAAAAAAAAAAAAGGATGATTAAAGGTCCAAAATGTAAACATTGTACTATCAAGGTGGCAGATTTTTCACAATGCTGATATTTAAGGTTTTGTCTACATCCCGGTAATGGTGTGCAATACTGCGCTCATATAAATTATGAAAAAGTATTACAATAAACAATGCGTTTTGTTACACAACAATATATATGATAAAGCATAAAATAAAACAATAATATCCATCCATCCATCTCTATTAGAGGTGTGGCCTAAAATCATAATCTCGAATAATTAAACATTTTTTAACTCGATTACGATTAATGAACAACTCTTTTATTTACAGTGCTCAGCATATATAAGTACACCCCTCACAAATCTATCTTTTTAATAATATTTTTAATAGGAAGCTCCAGAATATTATATTTGTGCATATACATTAGATTACTACTGGAGCCAAATCTGGAACTTATCTAACAAAATAACATGAGAACCAATGATCCAAAATCTAGTACACCCAAATTTAAACGATATAGAAAAATAAATACAATAAAAAAATTTTAAAAAATCTTTTTCCGCCCTGGAGTTTAAAGCCAGACCGGCCCACCTCAGTTCACGACTGTCTATATTAAAATAAGGTCATTTCCAATTCAGTTTCTAGTGACACCATCACGTCTTTTTCAAGAAAACAGCTGCTGTAGAAATTCAAATGTTCAAAAGCCCTAACAGTAATATACGTCTTAAAAATAAAAATGAAAAAAAAATTAATAAATACATTTTCCAGGTGAGATTCGAACACGGGTCGGAAGGCAAAGTAACGTAACGTGTTTACCACTGGTCCACTATAGCGCTAATGCAGTGAGAATTAAAAAAAAAAAAGTATTGGACTGTGACCTGCAAGACACGGTATTACTTTCTATTGATGGCTTAATCTTTTTCTCCCGTTTTTAGATTTCTGATCAAGTTATGTCAGATTTATTAATGTAGTGAATCATCTGATTTTCATTGAGCAGGTGTATTATTCATTAATATTAATTATTCGAATTCGCTGTTTGCGGTCGAATGATGATAGTTAACGTTACATCCTCATTAACGTTAGTTAACCTGCAGGCTGCATTTTGCTCACGGGGCTGCGAGAAAATAAATAAGAAGAGCGGCGCTATGGCAAAATAATGAATAAAAAGAGTGAGGCTATAGTCAAATAAATAAATAGATGAAAAAAGTGCGACTGCTGAGAGTGCAAGCAGCTATGGACACCGGCTCTCACGGCCAAAAAACAGACCGGCCCACCAGGAATTCTCCCATTGCTCCCGATTAGCCGATCCGGGCCTGATATATAGTCATTTAAAAACAAAATAGTTTGTTCAGTTCATCATTTAGGTCAATAAGGAGCATATTTGTTAAATACGTCCAAACTTATATATATATATATATATATATATATATATATATATATATATATATATATATATATATATATATATATATATATATATATATATATATATATATATATATACAAATATATATAATAATAAATATATATAGTAGTGCACGAAAGACAACAAGAACAATTTGTTCTCCTTAAAGATTCAACAAAAAAAACGCTGAATCATTCACAAACACATGCATCTGGCCTGAGTGTTGTCATGGGGTCTTTACGAGACAGGAAAAATTATCTCCAGTTCCTGACACACATTCTGTGTATAAATGCAAATGTGTGTGTGTTGAATCACATGAGTGCATGTGGGTGGGTGACATTTGTGTGCAATTCCTTAAGGGGACCTGCTTTCCATAAGGCCAGTTTGTAGCATTCACATTTACAGCAGCACAATAAAGGAGGAAACATGGCACCAGCATGCAGCCTCGCATAAAACCGAAAAGAGAGGGTGATGGACAAGGGGACGGATGACTGCTTGATGGATGGATGAGAGGATGGAAGGTGTAAAAAAAAGAAGAGGCTGGGATTGACAGGGGGAGACAGCAGACAGACGCATCGGCCTTGAAGCCACAAACACAGCTCACAGCTTCTTGCTCACTGCCCAGCGAATGCGTGTGTGAGATGAAATGCGTGTGTGAAGACGTGACTAGCACTGCTGAAAGAGAGCAGTGCATGTGTTAAAACCCCAAAATAAACAACATCATAATCTCCAGCTCCTGCATTTTTCATTGATTGCCATCGTTTTTTTGCTTGCGCATCTTGCACAGACACACACTTAACGGCAGGAGCAACAGGAACACAATCATGTCTGCCTGCCTGTGTTCCCGTTAACCACCCAGTGTGGTGTGTTTCTCTCTCCCACACACACACCTCCACCTCCCACTGTTTCAGCCGGAGCGAGCGTGTTGTTCTGATCTTTGAGTCAATCTCTCGCTGCTGGCCCGAGTTCTCTGAATTATACATGACAGTCTGATCATATAGCCGCCACAGAGACACACACAGACACCCACGGCTTCATTACTGGAGCATTTCACACTTACATGAAGCCACAGAGGTGCTGGAGTTGCTAGAGCAATGTCAGGGCGTTGAAAATGTCTCCTTTTTATTTAATATTTGGCTTAAAATTCAATATTATGCTATGTGGTTGCTGGGAATAGGGCATAGTAAGATCACCAAACGTCTTTTAAACTTTTCTAAACATAAAAGTAATGTAAAACATAAAATGTATGTAATTTATAGTAGTGATGGGTAGTTCGGATGACTTTACTGACTGAGATCTTTGAGTCTCGTTCATCAAGATGAACGAATCTTTTTTCGAGTCATTTCGTTCATTTGGTTCAATTTGCCAAAATGTTATTAAAATGTTACGAATTGCTTCCAAACACATCTACTGTACAACTAGCTCAAAAGTTTGATTGCAGATTGATAGGAGCCATGATCGTTCGTTTATCATGTGACAGAATGACTCAAACCCGAGGACTCGAGAGATGAACGGTTCAATTCTTTTTCCAGCTCTAAACGCGTACGATTGGCTTCTGCCAATGTGATGAAGACTTAAAATTAACGATACTACCTGCACAATTGTGCTCACGTGTGGATGAACGAATCACTCCCTGAAAGGACTCGTAGTTCCAGAGTCATATTGAAGAATTGTTCAAAATGAACAAATCATTCATGAACGACCCATAACTAATTTACAGTATCTACAGTTTGAAGAACTAAGCCATATCTATACAGTAAGTCTGTGTTTTTACACAACTCCTTGAATGAATGAATGAATTGTCAACCTTTTACAATTTTTTTGTATCCGCCTAATATAAACAAGCATCCGCGAGTGATAAAGTAGACCCGCACCTTCTTGTGTCCAGCCGGGGATGTCCGGGGATGTCATTTTCTACTAAAATGTCCGGGATTTTGTTTTTGTTTTCTAACCCGTCATCAATTTTACGTGCACAACCATGAGAGCGAGTAAAACAATAAATAATTAATTCTTTAAATCTAAAAAAAACTTTACTAAATACTACGAAAAATAGATGAAACTATATCTAAATTAGCTGGAGAATTTTTGTACACCATTAGAAATGGCTAATCAACTAATTTGTCTTATTTAAATAGTTGTTTAATAAAAAAATATTATAATATTTTAGAGATATTGTCTGTTTTTATTCCTTTCTGTCGTTTATTTATTTGCTGTATATTTTATTAATTTGATAATGTCGATATTTTACATATTTCAAACATCTAAAACGCTTTAATAGCGTTTATAAGAGAAATAGTGGACTTTTTTTACTTTAAGTAAATATAAGTAAATATATAAGTAAATATATGCTGAAGCCGTCAAACTGATGTCCTTGAGAATGACCACCACTCAAGCAAATGGTCAGGCTTTGATTAAAGATTACCAAAACAGACTTTTTTTTTTCAGCTGATAAGCATGTATGAATTAAGTGAACTTTGAAAAAAACCTGACACAATGTAGATTGTAATATAGCCTCAAATCAATTCAAAAATCAATGTAGTTCATTGTTGTTTTGGAAAGCATTGACTTTCTCTATATAAAAAAGTAATGTCTTCAAAATATTTAATGTCCCACAAAAGAAAGAAGAGGTCATTCAGGCAAGGAACAACACATGTATTTAGGGAAACTATCATTTGAAGCATGAGCAACATTACACTTTATACTCTCTTAGCGAACTTCACTAATTAGATTGTATTACCACTAATGTAGTCTCTTTATCTTTCTCCAAGCACTGGCAGTATATTAATAAACCTACATATGAGCGCTCTGAAAGACTCTAAGTGAATGACTGAGTGGATGAATGAAGCTTTTCTAGACAGACAAGAAGTGAAAAAAAAGTCTCTAAATGCCTTACATGCTCATTTCTTATTTCCCCCCCATCACACCATTGGACAGGAGAGCAGGACAAGGCGGTGGAGGAGATTTTTTTTCATGACAGCTGGATGGAGAATATGACAAAATCTCCAGAGTTGAAAATGAATGATGGAGGAGAGGGAGTGTGTGAGAGAGAAGTGGGGGGTTGAATCTAGGTTAGCCTGTGAGCAACATGAGGCGCAGTGTTGAGAAACGATTTGGATTTGAAGTTGGATTCCCGGCTCTGGCTCCAGCGGTGGAGCTACAAAACACGCTCCGAGGGATCACTGTACCGCTTTCAGGAGGAACACAGAGACAAGATCTGTGCAGGCTGACCTTAGTCACCATGGAGATGGTTGCCTGGGGGAAAGACAGCCACGCGACTGAGAAGGTAGTGGGCATTTCATGGCTGTCAAAGCGGCCGCACTTAAGCAGAACCACTTCACGGCTAGCCAACAGTTCCTGCGGCGCACCACCCAACATATCTCCTCTCGCACCTGATTCCTGCACTACACGCCGCAAAACTCCAGCTGAACACAACACATTTTGTCTGTGCACTCACGGCCCAGCCTGGCTTCGCATTACGGGACTGATTAGCATTTCCTTTGACAGAGGAGGATAAGAGGCCGGGAGCTGAAACAGCAGTGACTGACTTATCCTCGCCGAGAGCCTCTTTTGAGGGGAGATGGTTGAAGGAGGATGGGTAGCAGGTTTGGAAGTGGCTCGGGTGAACAAAAGAGAGTTTGGAGAGAAGAAGATGAAAGTGAGGCAGGCGGAAGAGGGGAGGAGAGCGAGAGAGGATGCACGTGCGAAGGGAGAGCCGCAGGTCCCCAGGGGGGCTTGAAATGCCACCAGCATTCATCCGCCCCACCCTCCTCTTTTAGTTCCGTCTCTTCCTGCTTGTCCTCTTGTTTCGGGAATATGGGAGGGAGGACCGCAAGAGGAGGGAAGGCAAGACGCTGTCAGTTTAGAGTTTGGAAGGTGATGTACTTCTCCCAAATGAGCAAAGATCTGGCCTCAAGCCATGCAGATCTGCAAGGACAAGTAGATCCGAGAAAGAGAGAGAGAGAGAGAGGGAGGATAGTGAGGGGTATGGAGGAAGGTAGAAAGCTTTTAAAACCCAAGTTGTGAGAGAAAAGCACCTTTCCTCCATATTACCTAAGAGCTATTAGTCTTGCTCAGCACTAAAGCAGCTCAGTCCCCTCCGCAGTCAACCGTGTGGATATATTTTATTCCATCAGCCTGTCACTGGGCATCAGAACAGGCCAGAAAAAGCCAGGAGAGGACAATTTAGCATCCCATGACGGCAATCAAACATTGCACTCGCTTTGACCGTGAAGCTCTAGGAGAGGCAGGAGTTTACCAGAGGTCATAAATTCAACACCTCAACCCTGAACTCCAGGGATAACGGTCAATGAAGGAGCCATAGTCAAAAGAGAATAATAATAATAATAATAATAATAATAATAATAATAATAATAGAACATGAATACATAAACTGTACTCATTTGGTAGTAAAGTCCATTTAACATGGCAATGATTAATTCCTTAATGAAAACATGGCAAACAGATACCAAAATGTACCCTTTATCAAAATGATGTAGTACCAATATGATTACTTTAAACAATTCAACCACAGTTGCCCTACTAAACCTGAAAGACATGACATAACTAGGCAGACAATAATTCATTCAGATTATTGAAGGGAATGACTGGGGCATTGAACAGAATGCGACTATACAGGTATATACCCGAAATGTACCTCTCTTGGGATCCATGAGCTCAATTTATAATAAACTTTTTAATAGGATACAGTATATCTTACACAAATACGTAATAAGAAAATGTTTGCCAATGCCACAGACTTGTGTTTCAATTGTAAAAATGATAATGGTATATTCATTTATAAATTTTGGGAATGTGACAAAATTTGGCCATTTTGGAGGGATACATAAAGTACTGGAAAATATTCTTAAGCTAAATTTTGATATGACCACAGCTTTGTATTTATTGAATCTAAAATAATCTATTGAACTGAAAAGATTCCTTACAGTTATTTATTGTCCTGGTATATTTGGCTAAAAAATGTATTCTGCTACTTTGGTCTGCATGACGAGCTTTCAAAATGTGGATATCGCAAATTGCTACATGGCTACTGTTAGAAAAACTTACTTATGACAAACATAAACGAACCTGACCGATTTTGGTCTCCCCGTTGGGACTACATAAAAGAGTTCTCTTAAATTAACACCGGATCCTTGTCATTTATTTATAAATTTTGTCTAATCTCTACTTAAAGACCGATCTAAAATGGTGTGATTGTACTTTATTTATCAATTTGTGTGTGTGTGTTTTTTTTTTTTATTACTTTCTTTGTTATTTTCCATTTTTGAGACTGTACACTCTGTAACACATTATACATTTTGATGTTAATATTTTGTGAATGTGGGCATACAATAAATTAATAACAATAATAATTAATTGAGCTGCATTTTCAAAGGTCAATGTTAGAAAAAAATCTAAAAGTAAGAATGCATTTAATTACTAATAAAACTTTATATTATTACTTTTTTTTTCATTAAAAAATTTTGATTTTTAAAGAGTCCTATAAATATACATAACATCATTTATTAAATAATTATTAAGTTGTTTCACAAGGACCAAATCAGGCATATAAGAATGATTTCTAAAGGATTAACTAACAGAAAACTGTAGTAATTGCTGCAGAAATTTAGATTTGCAATAAATTAAATAAGGAATAATTTAGATAAATATATAACAAATAATTTAGAACCATAATATTCTTTCACAATTTTTTCACCTTCTGCTTTACTGTTTTTTTTTATTAAAAATTCATGCTTGGTATGCAAAAAAGGCTAAATTGTAAATATCCCCATGACTAAAGTGTGAGAATAAGCGGTATCTACAAAATAAACCTATGTGTAGCTTAGACTTTGCAATTGCTTTAAAGACATGCTGATAAGGGAAATAAAATCTTCTTCGTACAAATGATTGATTTTTTTGTTAATCGTTAATCACTGGAGTTATGTTTTACAAATAGCCAGCAATAGGTGAAATCCGCAAAGTACCCAGCTTTATTTTTTACAGCTATTATAAATGTTTTAAGGCTGTAAAACCCCTCACCACACTGTTTTCCTCAGACAAGCATTACCATTTTTCCTTTTCTCTCATTTAAACACTAGCGTAACATCTACCTTCCTTTAACATGTCCAGAAGTCCAACTTATTGTTCGATAGTTAGCATCTTCCTCTGCCTTTTGAGTGCTAGTGCAGATGCCTTTGACAGTGCAGAACTTTACGTCAACATTGTTTGGTTTGTCTTGGAGAAAACGACAGTGTTTCCCGCCCAATTGGGCGGTTTTGAATTTGATTTGCAACGGCGTGCCTGCCAGCCCGGTTCTTTACTTTTAAACCTGTTATGATCTCCAAAAGAGATGCCATACCCCCCCCGTTCTTCACTTACAAACTCTTACAACGGTTGTGATCTCCCAAGGACACAAATTTGGATGCAGAATACAATGCTCTATAAAAAAAAGCACAAAAAAAAAAAATGGAGAACCGCGTTTTGGGGAGGGACCACTGTACACAAAAGCAGTCTTGGACAGAAAACTGCGTGAGCAATGCTCAACACCTTGCCCACCCAAACATAGTCACTTCTGCAAGGACACAAACACTTCTCTTTCAGGAAAACGGCATTCAGAATTCTATAGGAACATGTGACACATTTTCAGACATGTTTTTCCAGATCAAGAAAAGTCCCAGACTAAAGTAGAAACACCAACCAGAGAGTCAGGAATAGCTGAAGGCTGAGGGATGACAGTGTATGCGGATGATCTTAAAAACAAACAGAGCATACACATACAGACAAGAAAAGTGCCAACAAACCGCCTTATGTCTGAACTGCAACTCTTGCTGGTCTGAAATGTAGTCTACTTTTTTTCTAACTTGTCCAACTGTCACCACCACAGTGGAAGTGTGTAAGGAAATACTACACAGACGGACTCACCCCGAACAACGACGGTGACCTGATCTCTGCCGTATCCCAAACTGTTCTTGACCTCACAGATGAAGGTGGTGTTGATGGTGTCATCCACCTGCTGCACGGCGAGCCGGTTTTCCCGCACCTGCACGGTTTCAGGCATATGCCCGGACAAACTGTGGGATAACACAACATTAGCATAATATTTCAGACAGAACTGAAGATTAAAACATCTTTTGACAAGGAGCATACACTCTGGTCCATTTTGGAGCTTGTTATCTCTAAAAAAAACAGGCTCTTAGACTGGAGGAGGCGATCAGACAAACTGTTTTGTTTTTACATGGTGTTTAAAGCAGTGTTTCCTAACTCTGCTGCTGAAGGTACACCGACGCTATACATTTTACAACTCCTCACACCTCAACAAACTCAACAGCGCATTAGTACAGACATCAAAACCAGAAATATATGGGTCAGATAAGGGAGAAATCCAAAATGAGCACTATTTTTATGTCTCCAGGAGCAGGTTTTCTTTAGGAAAAGAAAAGCAAATTGCTCAAATGTGTCAGTTCTTACTAAAAGTTATTGCATTTCAATCAAAAACTCAGAGTTTGCCAGATTGAAAAAAAAGCTCTCCAATATTGCTTCCAGTACCCCTTTAGAAGGTCCAGAAATATACAGCCAGATGTATGGTGTATAATTCGACAGCTATTCATTGGACTGTATTAAATAATTTATGTGAGATCTTGAAGCCATGGCACACTGTGCAATGTTAATGTAAATAAACAAACAACTATCTTAATTACAACCACCACATGACACACAATTGTGAAACAAAATGTCTGACAGTTAAGCTGCGGTCACACTGCACTTTTCTCCCTATAGACTTCCATTCATATGCAGGCAGATGTGTCAGACCAACAGGTTTCGCAGTTTGCTGCGCTGGAAAGTTCAAGCTGGGTGAACACTGACCTGCGAAATCGCATGACATGATTGCATGAGACCAATCCAAGATCAAAACATGACCTCTATGGACAGAAATTTTAAATATGGACCAATTCCTCGCTTCTTAAAATATCTAATCATCTTGTTTAATCCTGCCTGTTTTCGCAACGCCGTACGACAGAATTTCACACGCACAAACTGTAGTGTGACCGCAGCCTTAGTTGCTCTTTTACTTTTGAAGTTCATCAAAACTAATACCTTGAAGCTTTATTAATCCTGAAGATAATGAATATATAGTTCAGGTGTGTTTAATTAGTACTTGATCTTAACTCACATTAAAGCACTCTAGGAACCTGATTGGACACCACTGAACACACCCAAATTAGTCAAGATCTTTAAGATCACTAGAAACTTCCAGGCAGGTGTGCTAAACTGAACTTGGCAGGTAAAGGCGAGCATACTCAATGCAATTTTTTTTTCTATTCGGAAAAGCTGTTTGCCGATTGTTGATTGATGCTCATTATTGGCGCACTCCATACAGTGGGAGGAATTTATAGGCTGAATGGCTTACTTAACTGATCATTTTAAAACATGTCAAAAAAGTTAAAGAGCTTATGACTTGAGGACGAGCCTACAGTATCTGTCAATGTATCAAAATCTGACCAATCAAGAAGAGGATAAACTCTCTAAACACGGAGCACTGTATGGTGGGTTATGCATTACAGGCTCATCGGAGAGATGATGGTTTAGAGTGCATGTCTCAAGAACTACAGTTATCAGCATTTACAGGTAGCTATATTGTTAGCTATAGTGCGTAATTAGTAGGCATGTCCTGGTATAAGATTCTGACAGTATGATGACCTTGGATATAAATATCATGGTTTCACAGTATGGAGATTATTGCTCTAAAATATATTCTGTTTAAATGTCTGGCTAAAAAAATAAAACCTTTTCCCCCTTTGTACCCAATTTATTTTAATTTTAGAAACATTTATAATGTTTTGGAGCAGAAAACATGTTAGGCTAAATAATTCAAATGAATTATGGACTTCTGTTGTCTTCATTCGTTTCAAAAACAGATTTTTTTACTATTTAAATTGTCCTCTTTAGATATTTTTTCTTCTGGAGATACTGCTGTCTTAAAAAAATTAAATAAATAAGCTTAGGATAGGTATAGCAGAAATTTTTTGATGGTTTTAAAACCTTGACTTTCCCCATACTCGGTATACCTTGAACACGGTGATTATTTCATGCCTAGTAATTAGCCTTTTAATTCACACAAATGGGGTCCCAGTGCTAAAAAAAAGAACCAGCATTTGTAGCAAACATCCACAGCTCTTGTAAAAAATTTTTGCTGTAAGAAAGAAAAAGGCTCTAAAATCGATGTTTTCCTCTGTCCATGTTTTTGATGTATAGTTTGATGCAATTGCTTTGGAATTTGTCAGCTTTTAAAATCATATTTATATCAGTGTGCTCATATGATTATGACATAAACATACTCATGGTGTGTACTTGCATACACTCTTCTGACCATCCAAACACATACAGTGTATATCCAGCAAAAGTGGCCTTTCAGGAGCAGGACTGAAAAATGATCAAACACTGTAGATTCTTCCCTAAGAAGTGTTTCATCATTCCAAACAAGTGACAAAATGGAGCCTAAAATATTGACAACTCTGAAATGGTAAAAAAAAAATGCTCACGTTTTCCAGGTGACAGTGGTGGGGACTGGGTTTCCATCAGCATGGCAGGTCAAATGTGCACTCGTCTGACCCCTGTACCAGTTGTTATTGTAACCCTTAATCTGCACCACTGGAGGATCTGAGAGAGAAATTCAGAGTGAATAGGAGAAATCTTTAATAACTCTGCCTTTATGAATGACTTGCAGCCTTAAGCCAGTGGCCACCAAACTTGTTCCTGGAGGGCCGGTGTCCTGCAGACTTTAGCTCCTACCCTAATCGAACACACCTAAACAAGCTAATCAAGGTCTTACAAGGTGTACTTGAAACATCCAGGCAAGTGTGTTGAGGCAAGTTGGAGCTAAACCCTGCAGGGACACCGGCCCTCAAAGACCGAGATTGGTAACCCCTGCCTTAAGCCACTGAAGCAAATCAACCACTGATACAGTCTGTCAGCTGACTCCATGATGACCTCATTGACCCTTAGCTCATGTTACCGCTTCAAGCAGCGCTGTAAAGCCTCAGGGCAATTTGCTAGATGACCGTAACTAATATCTGGCATATTCTTTAAACACATTACTGGCCTGAACAGATTGAGACATGACTCACTACAGCAGTTTCTCGGCTGTAGCAACAGGGAATGCCTAGCAGATCAGTAGTGGCTATTGCAGTTAATGGTCTGTTTGGAATCTTACATTCAACAACAAGCTTCATGGGGAAGGTCTCAGGCTGGGCCATGGTACGGTGCGATACAATGCAGCTGATGTCCTTGCCATTATCCTCAGGCTGCGGAGCCAGCATGTAGACGCTCTGGATGCTGACCGTATTATCCGGATTGTCCGTCTTCTTTGGTGTCGTCACGTTGCCATTTAGCGCCGTGGACCAAGTAATGGTCGCTGCCGGACGGCCATTGGATGATTCACAGCGCGCCACGATGACCGGGGTTTTGCCGGCGGAAACTGTGACAGTTGTAGCCGTGTTCTTCGGTTTAGCTGTGGGAAAGAGAGAGAGTTTGACCTTTATTTGATGCTATAATGTGAAGCAGGGTAAAGGAGGATGAGAGGAGGAGGGGAGGAAGTGGAGACGGGGAAGATCACAGCTCGGCTTGTCCTGCCACACGCTAGCACAGCGCTCACATTGTACTCACGTTTCGCTCTGAGAAAGACATCAAAGAGAGGGAAAGGAGAAAAGCAAGGGAGACGGGGAACGACAGGGAAGCGATGGCCTCTCAGCATGATAAGCAGGCAGATCAATAGCCGAGAGAGAGAGGGGAGGGAGGGGGCGAGCGAACGAGAGACCGGCCAAGGTTACTGCCACATTTCACACACATTAACAGCAGCACAATTGATTTGACAATACCATTTATAAATCCCCTTTTTAAGTCCGCAAACGGACACGGTCTTGGGTCTGAGCGTGCAAACGCAAACACACACCAAACTAAGTCTGCAAATGACAAATATTTTCGATGATCAATCAAGCTTCAGTTTGATTTCGGATTTTGTTGGGGAAAATATTCTCTCATTTAAATAATTCTGATATTTTCCATTCAAGTTACATTTATTACTTAAAGCCCTGAAGTAAAGCTTTGAAATGTTGTTCTCACGAACACAGGTAATAGTTCTCTCTTCGCGGTTTGATCGTTCACCCACCTGAAAATATGACTGAAATTTTTCTGAAAACCCCGACCAGGGTGAGGAGTTTCTGAAACTCTGGTTACAGTGTGGTCATGTGGCTATTAAAAAAGTTTTTATCTCATGACCTAAATGTGCATATAGTTTTTTTTTCTTTCTGATAGGTAGGGATACTCATTTCGGTTAATTTTACCAACCAACAACTGCCGCTCATTAACCGAATAATAACCTAATATTATTATTAAAATAGTCAGATTAATATTAAATTATATATTATTATAATTATTAATTATAATAATAAAAAATATAATAATTGACGTGCCTATTTTGTCTCTGAAACAATAAATATTGCATTTTAAAATACTCATTTATTTTAACGTGAACATATTAACAACAGAACATCTTCACGCACATGCAGTGCTTCCAACAACGTAGAATAAAAAGAACTAATTTAATAAAATAAATAGTCCTCCTCTAGACATTTTTCACTTATATGACAAATTTAGATTACAAAATGAAAACGCTGACTGAATCCTTTTTAAGAACCAGCATAGGCAGTTTTTTCCCCATCATATGTTTTTTCCCGTTAAATAAAAATAGCAAGCTACCTCAAATCAATCGCTCCATGGAAAATATGCATTTAATTAATACTTCTCTGTTATTTTTAGATCACAAACCTCTGTCACTATTTTAATAGAAGTCATTACTTTAAAGACAATGTCTTGAGCGTTAAGGTTTTACCTTACAGCTTGTATGCTTTTATTTTCTGTGTCTCACTCGCAGTTCATGTGTACGTGATGCGTGTAACGAAAGACAATGACATATGCTTTTTGTAAAGTATAGGCTAAATTAGCATATTACAATTTTCTTGTTTACATATGATACTGCATTCATTTGCATACATGTTTTATAAGCTGTAAAATGAAAGCCTCAGTTTGGTGCGGAGTTATCATTATGCAAAAATCAAGAAATCTTTGGATTTGTTTGATTCGTAGATTATGTAGGCTATTTTAAAATCGGATATTACATAAGAACTATTAATAACTGTAATTTTCGAAATGGAAAAAAAAGGTTTGTTTGTTGGTTCTACACTAAATCATCAAAACTATAGCCTATTTGTTGTGTTTTTTGAGCAGTGCCGGAGTGCGATCTGATGGAGAGAAAATCATGACGCTCGGACTTGTGGCCAGCTTGTTTTCAAAGCAGAGCCAACTGAGTTGAGTTTTGTTTTGCGGCTTCTTCCTTCAATTGTGCAAATAAACAAAGTGCACATTTATGCAGCCAATTAAAAGTAAAATATTAATACTATTTTCGTTTAACTAATACTATTATTTGGTTAAAAACGCACCCTTTTCGGTGCGTTAGCGAATCGGTTGTTATGAGTAGGCCCACCCGGAATCTGCACGCGCAGAATACCACAGATTTTTCGCAGATTTCCGCAGATTTTTAGCCCATCATTAATTCTGTTTATTTACTTGAGTAAATGTGTGTAAATCTATATTTATTCAGTTTTTTTTTATTCAATAATATTATTGGCTAATGTGAAAATGTTCATCTGATTTATGTACAATGCAGTTCGTACAGCAATATTTTCTGTCTTTTACTAGATATATTATATGACAAACTTGCTTCATTTACCAAATAAATTGGATCTAATTAGATTTGCATTTTAAAAATTAAATAAAAGTTTAAAAGACAATTTTTTTTTCATATATTAAGGTTTTAGTTATGATACTCCCAAAATAATTCAGCAGAAATCCGCAGACTTTTACCAAAATTCTCCGCAGAAATAGCAAAAAACGTCCACAGATTCCGTCTGGCCCTAGTTATGAGCATCTCTACCGATAGGCCAACACGGAGCAAATGACTCATTCATCATAAGGTTTTAAATCGCCCCCTGTTGATTTGGCATGTCCTTGATGGTGCGTCACAATGCATTTTCATGTGGACTGAATTTTTTTAAAACGAAGGCAGGAAAAGTTTACAAAAATACCAGCGTACATGTGGACCTGGCCAAAGTTCTGATGTTCCTTTTCTCATAAACGCCAACTCACCTAGCATAACTAGTGATGAAACTCCCTGTTCATTGCCAGAGGGGTAGGTTGCATATTCACAGATATATCGGCCCTCGTCTGTCATCTTCACATCTTTGATCTGAATGGATGGGTTATCCAAAGTGGGCGGGTTCGATACAAAAGTGACACGCCCTGATACAGGAGAAGTGGTTGGGTAATTCACCCCAAAGTTTGGATGGAAAACAGCAATGTTGGTTCGTTCTGTGTCAGTCCGTTCAAAGATCCATGACACCTGTAAACAAAAGGGGAAAAAAGTTCAATAGATGCACAGAGCTTCAAAAAGTTCTTTTTGGGAGAGCAAGAATCTTCACACATTTATTGTTTTGCATATGAGTGGCAGGAAACATGAAGCTGACTTCTGACCTGAGTGAGCTGGGTATCGCCTGGGTTTGGAAACTGGCAGCGCAGTGTTACTGTCTGTCCAGGAAACGACACAACCTCTGGCTCCACCCTCACGTGCTGAGCCAACGACCCTGGAAAGAGAACGAGAAAAGGCCATGAGAACAGGAAACAACCTTCACTTCTGTCTGGCTAAATTCAGGTGACCTGCGACCACCTCGCTGAGCATGCCAGAGAGAAATTCAGCACATACCGGCACAGTCTCGGAGTTCAGGGATGGCAAAATGAGAAATGATGAATGAGGTTACAACAAAACAGCAAGTAGGCCAATGTTTCTGATCTCAGTCGGGGTGTGTGATAGGGTGCGAATCTAAATGTGAATGTGTGTGTGCAAGCGTGTGTGAAAGTATCTATGAAAAAAAAAAAAAAAAAGGAAAACATTCAGCTCGCTCTGGCCCGAAGCATTCATCATCCAACATAACCCTGACAGAACACATTCTGCGAGCACACGAGTGTGTATGTGTGTGCACATCAGGGGGTGAAAAGTGGTAAAGAAGTGAAAATTGCACACAAAACACTGTACAGTACCATGGGAGCACTATATACATCAGAGTCTTGGTGCTCATGCAGACATACAAGTTCGAATCTCACTCTAAACTAGAGCTGCACAATTAATCGTAAAAAGATTGTGATCTTGATTCGACCCCTTGACGATCTTAATCCAGCATTTCTACGATTATGTCATCATATTTTTTTAAGTTCAGGAGAGAAGCAATGGTGACTGCACAAGTCTTCACATTGTTTCACATAAGTTGTTCAGCAACGTGGACACCTCCAAATGGTGTTGAAAGAGTCACATGCTGTATTTATACGATAAAATTCACCCCAAAAATTTAATTTCTGTCTTCATGTAATGTATTTGCGACCGCAAAATCGCACGTGACGTGAGCTGACTGTCAGCTGTTACCACAGAAAGGGCGGGCGCACGCGCCTCTGAATGAAGTTTACTTTAGTGAACAGAACCTGCATATGATTCCAGCGACGCTCCAGGGACAGATGAGTCTTCGCTGAGGCTATCTTCCAGCCTAAACCACGACGAATGAAGTTCTGCACAAGACTTTTGGCCAGCGGAGAAATTAAAATGGTCGTGCCCAACTGAGTCTGGTTCTCTCAAGGTTTTTTTTCTTCACTCCCATCAGGTGAAGTTTTTTTTCCCTCTCCGCTGTTGCCACTGCCTCGCATGGTTCAGGATTGGTAGAGCTACGCATCGATGAATTGGCTCTTCAGTGTTTGAACTCTCAGTAATGATTAAATCACACTGAACTGAGCTAAACTGAACTGAACTGAACTTAAACACTAAAACCTGAACCACACTGTTCCAGTTACTGAACCACACTGTTCCAGTTACTATGACCATTTATGTGAAGCTGCTTTGACACAATCTACATTGTAAAAGCGCTATACAAATAAAGCTGAATTGAATTGAATATGCTGTGAATAACAGGTAATAACGTTGTAAATAACATTCAGTTTGTGGCACAGAGTGATTGTTTGGGAGCCGGGCGGGAAGTGAACCGCTCTTAGCAGTGAAAATGAAACCGAAAGCGCACACAGTGTTGCCAGATGTATCTGAATGATTCCAGCCCAAAAAGTATCCAAAACCCGACGAAATGCAAAAATACCCGCCCAGTCTTCTGTACTCAGGAAAATCACGTCAGTGACAGATTTTAAGCTGAAAATAACAGTTCAAGAGTTCCCACTTAGATATGCTTGGCACTTATAGCAGGTTTGGCATGCTGTCCCGGGAGAGAACCCTGAGCTCGGAGATATTTGAGCCCAGGGCTCCCGCCCGGTCTAGAAGCATATCAGGAGAACCGAGATCAGGTAGGTCTCGATCGCTCCCCCTTTAGAAGGGGAGAAAAAGGAGGAGATGGGGTGGAAGGGGGGATTCTTCCAAAACGAAGATAAGGAGATAAGGAGAAAGTGAACCATTTATATTAAGCTAGGACCATTCTGATTGGATTATTACTGATTACGGATGAGTGGCCAGCGGTGCACAATCATATCACGTGCTCCTCTCGAAATTAGTTTATGAAACTTCGCATTGTGAGCACATGTCTCAAACACAATTCAGCATTATTGACCAGGACAAATCTAAAGTCCACCATTCCAAGTCTACACAAAATTTAGCATTTTAACCCACAGTACAGCAACACAAGGCCTATTACTGTTTTACCCCATGTTTGAGAAAAACAATAATAATAGCTCACTCTTATTAAGCTTTATTTTCTATCTACAGAAACGTGAGAAAATCGTGATTTTATTTTAGGCAAAAAAAAAAAAATTAATTCTTATTTTAGCCAGAATTGTGCAGCTTTACTCTAAACATTCCTGATGCCATTCTCAACACCATTTCCTGTCAGCGCTTTACTATGGTGTTCCTGCACAGCACATTTTCATCATTGAAATTTGGATTGGAATTGGCAGGATTGAGAAAGTAGGTAATGCAAATTCACCAGTGAGCAGTAGGAAGCTGTAACTTCTGTTTGAGCTGTAGTTCACGGATCAAAGATGAAACATCCCATTTGTACATCCACATCAAATGAAATTTGCTGAAATTATTACATACAAATAGAAAGCATACTAAAGTCAAATGTTACACGAAACTTTTGTGAAAATAAATCATCAAAATATAGCATAACATATGACTCATTCCAGTATTTCTGTCACATTTCAAATAGGGATGCAAAGATTAACCGATTCCACTATTAACCACACTTTAATCGGTCACGGTTAATTAATCGTAAAGCTTCTCAACACCGCTTTTCAGCACTTAAAAAACTGCTGCAACTAGTTATGATAGTTATGCATAGTTAAGTTATGCCAACTGTGCGCTAGTTTAAAGTTCCAAGGTTGTACACCGAGGCTAACACGCCCACTATAGCTGAGGCTATTAACTAAAGGACGTGCACATATCGTGTCTTTTGCGCGTGCAAGTTTGTTACTTCTTTTTCGCATATTGGAAGTGACGTGTGGTGTGGCGACGCACTCACGCTTTCCAGACAGACCTAGTTGAAAGAGTGTCACAAGCGCACTGCGAGTCACGTGACAAGAACTGACCATTGAGCTTTATGCTTCGTTTGAACTATACACATTTCTACTTCAAAGAGAAAAAAAATACAAAAAGAAAACAGCAAACAAGTTCATAAATAGTTGATCAATAGTGCCTTTCAGACAGAGTTTCAGCAGCCCTTCACTGCATTTGTTCTATTTAAAAGAGAAATACTTAGCTAACATGATGCTTAGATTTACCTGTACATCAGACAAATACTTCTTTATTTATTCTTATTTTTATTTATTTGTTTATTCATTGTTCTGTCTTTTATTTTCAGTGTAAAATTATTATGTTTAAATGCCAAACACATTCTCAATTATTTTTAAGTTCAAAGAGAAATAGACAATTGTTTGTTTTTATTATTATTATGTACTGTATTAATTGGTTACTGAGAAGCAGTGAATATCACTTTAAAATAAAAGGAGTTTTTTACTAAACTAGTGTTGTTTTGAAACTAATGAGGGCATAATAATCATGAAACCATGATTATTCCTCAGACTATAATCCCAAATTTCAAGCATTTCCCATGTATTTTTTTAAAATAGAAATGACACACAACAAATGTATCATTGACGGTTAACTGAATCCATTATTAATGTAAAATAATGCCATAAGCTTGAACATAACAGGAAACATTTGATTCTCTTACAAATTGCTTTTAACTTCAACACTCAGAGAGTTGACATTTTCCACCATTTTGTGCTATAGCTAAAGAAGTTAAACCTCAAACCAGAAAATACATGGCATGTAGAAAAGAAAATGTATTCTATACAATAAAATTACTGTTTAAAAAAAAAAAGCAAATGAGGAATTTACCGAAACATTACAATAAACAAAGTTGACAAATAATTAATCTACTACTTGTCTGTCCTAAATGTTTTTGCACAAACAAATGAGAGAATAATGACATGAATCAGTGTCTTCCAGATTTTCTCATGAGCAGAAGTGAATTCACTTGGAGAAAGTCACACGCTTTTTCTATGAGTGCTTTAAAGTTTGTTATGCCTTTTTATAACCGTTGTAACAGTTGACTAGAACATAGGGACAAAGGGAAAATAATTTACTGAAATTACAAACAATGCAGAAAATAAGTGATTCGTGCAAATGTTTATTGAACTTGGCAGAGTAAACCCACAAAAAGATGAAAACTTTTTTTTTTTTTATGATAATTGAAGCCAAATGTAAGATTCAGTAGGCGAAGACAGTCAAAATTGGTATAGTGGGAGTCTTTAAGTGAATACTTTCAACACAAAATCTTCCTAAATACCCATGCAAAGTACACTTTATTTGGTGTATATAATCTACTGTTCCACTGAATGTTATTATATTGGGTGCCTTCTGTAAATAAGTAGAAATTTATGAAAAATTTTTCCCAGTAAAAAAACAAAAAAACTTATTTAACATTTTACATTATGAATGAATGGAAAAAATTTACTTTGATGCTTAGAAAAACTTTTACTCGTATGCATCACTACACTACTGAAAACAAACAATGGCTCATGTTTTGCCCCTGAAATTCAGCCGAAATGATGGTGACCGCCCATTAAAGGTTATGCAACAATGGAAACACCATGAAGTAGGAAAGCATTGAACTAGTTCAACCAGTTTGTCAGCTAATCAGCTGAAAAGACTGAAACTCGCAAATTGACAAAACACAGTATCATCAAAACAGTGACTAAGTTAGAAAAGAAAAAGGAAGCAAAAGCAAGTTTAAAAAAGTACATCTTATATAAGCTCTCTCAGCTGCATCCTTATTATTTAATCTAGTTATATCAGTCTTCCACTAAATCCCGAAACTCATAGCTGCAGGATGTTGGAAAAAACGATTCACAACATTCATTCATTCATTCATTCAATTATTCAATCGTTCATTCATTCATTCATGTTCCTTCGGCTTAGTCCCTTATTTATCAGAGGTCACCACAGTGGAATGAACCAACTACTTTTCCAGCATATGTTTTGCGCAGTGGATGTAGTCGCAACCCAGCACTGGGAATGTTGCGATATATATTGCAATAC